TATTCGTCTTTCAATAAAAACAATCTTGCATAGTTGGATAATGTGGTTAAAATATAAAGGCGGATAGGTAAGGTCCTTGATGAGTCGATTAAATCGGCTGGCCGTGCAGACTCCTCGCAATTGGATGGCAAATTCTGAGGACCACGCACAAGCATAGTATCTATAGCAGGCAATGAGAAAAAAAAATTTATATATATATATATCGTCCACGCTGTGAGCGCCTCAGAGGAGCCACATTTTCATTTCCGTGAAACTTTACAGACCGTCACTCCAACAAGGACAAGTAGTGTGTTGACATTAATGGCTTACTGCTACCGCTAACTAACCTTCGTTCCATACTTCATCACCATGTTCATCATGCGCATCACTGAAAAGGAAGCAAGGTGATAAGGAAAAAAAGAATCTCACGAAGAAAACCACTCTTAGTTGACATGTAAATTCTGTAGCAGGGATACTATTCATGTACTCAAACCCCTTTAGACCAAGAAGCTCGACTCGTTGCACAAGTTTTGGAGGATTTTATAGAATTTAGAGACATTGTCAAGATGAGTTATTCCCTTTGGCTTGACAGAATATGATTTCATCCAAGGCGACTGATGTCCATGTCTAGCCCTAACGAAATGAGTTTAGGTAGTTTCGTCATTGGTCACTTTCATCGGTAAAGCGTAATTCCGAATAACTGCATGTTGTGGGGGATGTGGATAAATGAAAAGGTTTATTCTGATTTGATTTTATTGAAACAGAATAACATATAAGATAAATGATATATGTTATTAACATCATTGCATGCTCGCTCCCTGTAGGTCCTGTTAAATGCATCTTCTTGTGTTCATTTTCACCAAAAAGCTTCTCTTACTAACCGCAGCAGAAGCTAATTGTGTAAATTCCTAGCAAAATACACTGCCTACTATTCGACAGGCCTTCTTACAGAAAAGCTTAGAAAGTACTCGAGGAACTCTGATCCTATTTTCGATTCTGAAACCGACTGTACACATATTTTGCAAACAGTAACAATAAAGAAGCTATTAGGGTAAAATTACTGGTTCAAGCGTAAAAAGCAATGAACTTATAAAGGAAACCTATTTCTAGGGGGAACTTTAAATGGTGTTTTACCGTTTTTCTGGAGCGCACGCTTAACATACAATTGAGTGAATGCCCTCAACTTGACCAGCCATATGTATTCTACTTTCCTTGACCAGCCAATTTGCCGAGGAAACAGGTAATATTATTTATTTAATCTGACCGTTATTAATTCAGTAAGTCATGTGGCAAAAATTCTCGCAAATAGATGATTTTGGCATGGAGAAAAACATGTTGGTGCACTGAAGCATAATTTTTGCTGAAACTTCGTTACATTCATATTTTTGCAAAAGCGGTCAAAGGGTTATGGCACATTGTATTTTAATCATGCTCAGTGTATTTATTCCTTCTGTTCAGTGCTGGTTTTTGCCTAGATAACTGAAACCTAAGTGACATTCCTTTTTTTATTTTACGGAGTCCGTAGAATCATTTTGGGCCATTTATTTCTTTTTCTGTTACCTGTTCTTTACCCTGTTCAAGCAATCGCAATATCCAATCTCGAGAGGCACTTAACTTGAGGCATTGCATTCAGTACATTGCGGCATTAAAAGGTCATAATTTGTTCAGTTATGGATATTAATTGTGGATAACACAGAGGTATTCTAGCCAGGCAGTTCAAAAGCAACTTAGTTGCATCATAGCTAATCACGATCCTACTTTGCTGGAGAAAAATGGGTAGGCAAATGAAGGTGGCACTTATTACTACGAATGGAAGCCAGATTGGACAGTAAATAGATGAATTTAACTTGCTAGCGAAATTATAGCCTAACTACCACTTCTTTTTGAGACTATATCTACGCAATCACCCAACCAAAGTCAACCTCTGCATCCGCATTATAAGCGGATTCAGTTTTGTCGCATACAATTCTAGTTGTTTCCCAAGTGCTGTTACTAATTAAAAAAGACAAAAAAATTCTATAGATTCTTACGCGGATTTCTAAAAATGAATTGAATTTAAATTGTAATGACGAAAAAAGATCATAGTGGATATTGCATACTACTACTGCTTTAGACGCCGGTCTATGTCTGGATACCTACTAATCATTTCATCTATTTATGCATCTTAGGGAGGACACTAGCCGTCAATCCATTCCAGACTAATTTCTTTAGGCCGTTCAACTTCCCGTAGTCGCTGCATAATTGTAGACTACTAACATTCTCCTTCACAGACGCGATCGGGGAGACCAATGGTGAAGTAGACTGCCTTATAACCTTGTCTCGATTTATCACTTCAGCCGGACGGCTTACTCCTTCTAGCGGAGGTGGTGCATTACGTGTTTGTGGTTTCAAGATGGGTCTAGATTCGTCGGTATCGACATTTTTCATTCCAGTTTAGCCCCTTGCCATAGAAAGCTGCTTGCATACGTAAGTAAGGGGTCATAAAGTTCTTTTCTCTCTTAATCAGAAATGTGGGTCAACCGCGCTCAAAGTTCATTTTAATTGTTCATGGGAATGTCTGAAGCTTCAAAAATGGCGTTGCTGATGTCATCTGCATCATCTGTCGGTAGCAAAGTCTCCGCGTTGATTTCGGTGACTCGTTGAGTGGAAAATTTTCCTCCTGCATAATTTAGGACCGCTTTGGCTTACTGTAGGAAAGCAGCACCAATTATTACATCCTGAGCTAGCTCTAAACACATATTGAATTTCACTGCCTAGATTCCCTTTTTCTATGCAGACTTAAATGCCACCTCGTCTTGAAGTAGCATCTCCCTTCCTTCTACTGAATGCAATTTTGTAGAAAGGGAGAGAACCTTAACCCTGTTACGAAGAATAGGGAAAGCCTGGAGATTTACTGTTGATCTGGCTGCACCAGAGACGAGAAGAAGACAGCAGGGATGTCCTTCAAGTTTACCAGGAACCCGCATTTAAAAATGGGGTCCACTTGGGAGCATAGGGAGAGAAGAAAGGCTTCCTTGGTTTGTGTGCTTCTCGAGGGGAGACACAATGCGAGTATTGACTTTGGCCAATGTTAGAGCTACTGAAAGATGGGAATCACCAGGAGTTTCTGTAGCTGGACTGGTTGGCTGAGCGAGTTGGTCTTTGTGTCGCAGAGCTTCTCAACGACAGCGGCAGGTCGGACTCCGTGTCCGAACTGGACGGTTTTTCAGTTAGTAGCCTTGTTTGGAGGACAGCTACTTAAAGCACGTTCCATCAGATGTTGAAGTTTCTTGGCGTACCTTTCATTGTCCATGTCAGCTTTTTAGAGACGGAGGAAGAAGTCTCTGGCAAGGGTTTATTCTTCCCTATCGAGGGCAAGTTGAGCCAACGTATCTCTGCATTGATCAATGTCGGTATCGTGGGTGATGCCGGTGCTGAGTGCGGCCAAAAATAAATCATGGGGAGAGCATGAGGGATTGAGAGTATTCTTCGGCACTGAGAATAGAGGTGAAGGTTGAATCTAGCAGTTCTTAGCCAGTCTTTGAAGTTCATATCATCCTTGAGATAGGGGGGTCCACCGGGGCTGCCACCAGTGTAGGACGAGGCTGGAAGATCTCCACTTTTCTGGTCCGCATACTCTTAGAACACCCAGATTGATTCGGTTTTGTCACGTTTATTGGAGTGAATAAATAAATAGAGCAAGTACAAGTTCAGGGAGGTGTGGGCACCGAACCTTTCTTAGGGTTGCAGGACGATTACTCCTCAGTCAAGAGGTTCAATTCGCAAGCTCTCCTCCTCCCTGAAAGGACCTTTTAAACCAAATAATTATTGCACGAATATTCCGCAATTACCTGTTATTTAAAATCTGAACCTCCAAACAACTATGAGAGGCAATGGGTTAGAAGCTTAATTGCCCATATCATAAAAAGTGATGCATTTTAAATAATCTTTGGTTCGTTTATATTGGATTCGCGCCAATGATTTTCACTCCAACTTGTTTCATTTTGATATATTCGAGGTCATTTTAATGTCCAAGTGTTAGCTGGTCAAAATTCTACTCTACTTGTTCATGAAAGCACTTCATTAAACATGAGCGACTCTACCGTGCGTTGAAACTTATGTTTGTTTGTAAATTCAATTTTTTTGTACCCGCTATTTTGATCGTCTCATTGATACCAAAAGTATTTATTGTGGAATGTTACATTTTAACCAAATATTGAGTGTCAAATACGGCAGCCTATTTTCAGTCTGGCGCATTGTTATCCGCAGAGGGTTTCGATGCCAAATTTTTAAATTCATAGGCATATTAGAATATTTTGAATCCAATCATCCCAAAAGCAAAGCTGTCTTCTCATATTTACTGTTGTAAAAACTTAGTAACAACATTGTAATATCATCTGGCAATAAACATTACAGAGTCGAGTTCTTCAAGTGACGCTTATGCATTTTTTTTTCATTTTGAAGGAAAAACAAATAACCGCCGGACCTTCAGGTGGTGATGCTATCAAAATCACTTTGTCTCAAGCTGTGGATAATAATATGATCTCAGTTGCTAAGCAACTACTGGAAAAAGGCGTACGCTATTTTTTGATGGACATTGCTGATTAGAAAATTATTCCATGTATAATGTAAAGGAAATAATAGTGATCCCATTATATATCAATGAAAGATTTCGTGATAAATTTCCAACGCTAGACGTTAAATCTACTGTTTTACTCTCAATGTGTGCATTCGGTATTACTTATAGCTAACGCAAATGTCAATTTCGCCATTATTAACTAGGAATCACTTTTCATTAGGCTGATCCTAACGTACACGAAGAAGATCCTACGACAACTCCACTCATAAAAGCCACTAGAATGGGGTATGTAGAAATGATGGAGCTTCTTATCGAGAATGGGGCTTACCCTTACCTATGTGACCACGAGGGTGATACTCCGCTTCACTGGGCGGCAAGAAATGGCAATTTGGCCGCTGTCAATGTGCTCTGTAGATGTGACAGCACCACCTATGTGGAGAACATGAACCGCCGAACACCGCTGATGGAAGCTCGTAAGCATGGACACCCTGAGATTGTGCAATACTTGGTTTGTCAAGACAGCAATGAAGAGGTTCCCTCAGCTGATGGGAGTGAATCCAGGCTTGCAGCTACTAGTCCTGCAGTACGTGACAGTTTTTTTACTTTGTGTCTAATTGCATTGTTTGGCAAAATTTGGCCAATGATTTATTTGAACGATGCTATGAACGAATCATCATTTTTATGGTCCATATTGCATGTTCCATTAATACCTACTGCTGCTTAACTACCCGTATTTTAATCTTGCAAACTTTTATGGCTAACATGAATTGGAACAGTGGAAAAGTTACCTAAAATGGCATTTCGCTACTGGAAATGTCAACGAAAGCAATAAATTTATGGACTTACTTATCGTCTAGAATCACGGTAAATTTTGCTAGTGTGGACAATACAGATTAGGCGACTTAATAATAGGTAATGATATGACTGCTAAACAGCAAACTCTGTTAAGCCGCATTAAAATGCAATTTTTTCTTCTCAAAACAAACTCTTGCTTACTAACATCCCAAAAGTAGCGTGCTTCTCCCTCAATCCATTTTTAAGTTTGGTGCCAAGTTAACTTGTCGATGCATTTCTACTAGTTTTGTGAACGTAAGTAGCGTTTAGTAGCTGCCTAAGACTGCTCAAAATTTGACTTAAAGGGTATTCTGAAGTAATAAAAGTGAACAGGTCTGCCTGTGGTCAGACAGTATTTAGTCATTTACTTGAGTACAAATAATTAATTTTAAGTTACATTTATCCTTAAGCTTTGCATTTTCTAATGGATGCGCACGAAATAGAGCATAGCGTGAGGTTTTAAATGAGTAAATCTAGTCTTTTATTAAAGAAATTGCGTAATGCTTAGTAGATTGCCTTTGCTGCGCTTATGAGAAAAGCATGCCTTCTTAGTAATGCATATTATCTCTCTTCATGGGCCTGAAATTTTCACCCTCCCCAATCTGGGATTCGAAAAATAGCCTACTTAGTATGAGATTTAGTTTCAGAAAATCTTTTTAATGATAGCCGCTAGTGTTGACGTTGAATCATTAATACGATATGTTGTAAGGATTGCACTGAAACGCAATGGAAGCATAGACATTTTACCTTATTTCCGAATATTGCATTTCATCTGCCAGTTAACATTTCCCAAATGTGTATATTTGTTGAATACCTAGGATTTCGACGTCAAAATGGTGGAAGTCCAGTGTTAGTGAAAATCACAATCATTATTTACCTATTGTCGCGCTACACTTTACACGCAGAAGTTTGAGCCATTTGTCAATCCCATAGACTAACTTGTGATTAGACAAATAGACAATTCAAAAAACTGTTTTTCCTTTGTGTTTTTGAGTCCAGGTGTGAGGCCTTAACGTTCTAATTTGCACAGCCTCATAGTGGATAAATGGACATACACGAATAAGTCCTCATCAAAGACAATCTTTTGCGCCTATGTCTTAAATATTACCGCATTTAAAAATAAAGTTTAAATCTGTTTTATCAAACTCGTGTCGCTTAAGTGCTGAGCGGTCAGAAGTTAAATAAGTCCGCTTGTCAGAGCAATTCATTAAACGTTTCTCGAGGCAAAAATTTTACCCACATCTTCTCTTATCTCTCCATCAATGGTAATAATTTCTTAATAATTAATACTTTATTTAAGCTAAATTACAAAGTTCATTAAAGCGTGATCATTTCATTATGGCATGGTATTGTCGAAACAGCAGAAAAGATGAAGAGCTTTTTGTTGCCTAGCTGTTTAACTTACGGGCCTACTAATGTATTTAAAATCCGTTCATTCAAATCTTGAAGTCTAGTCCTCACGAAAAATGTTAAGAAACGTGTTCAATTGTTCAATGGTCAAATTTACTTATTTAAATTTACCCGCTTTCACTTTTTGTAGAAAAGGCGAACGTTTGCTGGTGCTTCAGGTGGTGATGTTAACAAATTTAGTTTATCTCAAGCTGTGGATGACAACATGATCTCTGTTGTTGGCCAGCTACTGGAAAAAGGAGTGCGTTAGTTTTGAATCTTTATTCTTAATAACCCAACTGTTGCTTATATTTTCATCGCTAAACACCACATTTGGTGTTGTGATCCCAGTGTGCTTGCTAGCCATTGTTAATCGCAGCCCAAAATGTCAGTTTTCTCATTATTGTTATGAAAAAATTGAATTTTCTGCTCTAACATAATCACTATTTCGATCTGATATTGTTCTTCCTTCTACTAGGCTGATCCTAACACACACATAGAAGACCCAACCACAACTCCACTCATAGAAGCTACTAAAAGGGGTAATATAGAAATGATGGAGCTCCTCATCAAAAATGGGGCTCACGCTTACCTGACTGACCATAGCGGTAACACTCCACTTCACTGGGCGGCAAGAAATGGCAATTTGGCCGCCGTCACTGTGCTCTGTAGGTCAAATGGCACCATTGATGTAGAAAACATGTGCCGCCAAACTCCGCTGATGGAGGCCTTTACTCATGGTCACCCTGAGATTGTGCAATACTTGCTTCATCAAAATTAAACAATGCAAAATCTAGCCATCTGATAGCATGAGACCTTTATTGCTTTGCGTTTGGCTGTTTTATCATGCATAACCTTGCAAATGCGGTACTAAAGTTTCGCTATGGACACTGTTTCATTTATAATGTTTAATGTATCATATTCTATCAGTACCTGCTGCTTCCTAAATGCACCTATTATAGCACTCTTTAAAATAAAACAAATTTTCCTAAGTGTTAATTTATTTCACTAAAATTGCTAAGCAAAAAGGAAATAAATGGTGAAAATATCACTAAAAATCAAAGTAAATTTTGATATTGAGCAAATACCCGGGGTAGACGATTTTCGGGATGAGAGTGGGATGAGTGATGAATCTAGAAAATCTCATTTGGAGTCATATTTACTAACAACTTCAAAGCAATCGGGATTTTTTTAGCTGCCCTATATAATTTGCAACACCGTGGCAATTGTATACTACTTATGCACATGCACGTGTGCATAAGTAGTAGTGGCAGTACTAGAAATACACTTCTAATGTTACTCCATAAGGAGAGGGGTGATGGACACAGCGGAAACAGAACATCATAATGGAAATTAATGGAATGCTAGTTTTGATAAATTATGCGATAGAACTTGTGATGGAACAGTTTTAGAGAGGATTAATAGCTAAATACATCAAACAAATTACCTCGTTCCAATTGACTGACCTGAATGGAAGGCTTTAATCATCGGCATTTGGAATGCATTAAATTTGTACATTTACGCATGCAAAGGCTTTGCTGTTTTGTTTTAATTGAAATATGGCGCCTTATGGAAAGTAAGGGAAATCGAGTAATGGCAGAAGTGGACAAGCATCTTCACTAGTTTGCAGATTTATATACATCTCACAAAACAACAATGTTAGCAAGGCCTAATAGAAAGAGAAACGCTTACATACGCAGATAAAGGGATCTAAAATTCTTTGGATGTTAATCTGATTGCACAATCAAACAAAGGATTACTAAAATTGGTACCTATAAAGCCGGCATGCTAGCAGCTTGCTCGCCACGTTGAACCTGCTAGGGAGAAGGAAGACACTGCTTAAATATGACAAATAATCTGAGGAAAAATAAATAGATAAGTTGATGTGGCTAGCAACTGCTAATAATACTAGAAAGAACAAAAACGATTAAGAATGCACAGTTTGGTTTAAGCTGAAGAAAAATTTCGCGCCTCACCTTAGAGTGCTTGCCCACCGATTATATTTGTAAGAGGAAAAATGGCACTTGCAACCTGCAAATGTATCTAATGAGCCAGTAGGGAAAGAGTGGGCTCCTACTCGTGTTTAAACAGTAGATACATTTTTGCCACTTCCTTCTTATTAAGTCCAAGCGCTTCATAATTCCTTTTGATTCCCTCCAATATTTTTCTTTAGAAGGTTGGTGATTGAACTGCCAAAATTTGGCATTCCTCAGCCCTATACTAAGGCTGCAATGTGCATTCGCCTTTTAAATAATATGCAATCCGGATTCTCCTCGACTTCCTATTATCTCAGCAAACTAGAGTTAAATCGGAATTGTTAACGCTGAATAAATAACAGCACTTACTCTTAAAAAAATATATAACATGTCCGTTTTTGTCTAAATCAAAGAAATAGTAAGGAAATTAAATCCAACTAGACGACCCAGCCTGATGAGTATTAGAAAGGCAGGCAAAGGTGTTATGGAATAACAAGCAGTCGTGTTTATTTTGAGTAAGTGACTACTAGCTCACGGGTAAGTAAAATAAGACTTGACGTACATCTGTCGATACGCACTCTGGAATGGCCTGATTTTTGGGTATACCGATCACATGCGAATTCTTTGCAGAGAATTTGAACTTCTACTCCAAGAAAAGAGCAAGCCAAGTTAATAGGTTCATGTAGTTACCGTGAGCTGGTGTAAAGGCATCAGTTACCGATTATAGCACTAAGCCTAATTTGACACACTTGAGCTATCCAGGTGAACAGTTAAGGGAATCCAGAGGATATTGACAAGCTTATAGACATCTCCTCTCTTCTACATCCTATTTTGTCTCTCTACAGCAAAGTAACTCCATACTTATAAGGAAAATGTAAAGAAAGTTAATTGTTCTGGAGGATCGTCCAGGAAAAATACTTTGTGGCAACAACCTACGCACAGGCGCCAAATCGTGAATCGTTAACCATGAGTAAGAATTTTAGGCCTGTAACTACTAGTATGGTTTACTTGAGTCACTAGGGCTGTCGGACGACAGTAATGGCCAAGGTCCTATCACTGCTGTTCACTAAGTAGCAGAGCTACTCACTCATTCATGCATTCCATCTTCCCTTCATTCTGTCATTTTTAATGCTGGAGTCCGAAGGCTCCAGTGTCTCAAATCTTGCACCCATCTCGCCGTTACCAATAATTAACTTGACATCACCTCCTCATCCATTTTCTTCTATTGCAACTCTCCACTCATTAATCAAGAGATAATCCACTTGAAATTTGGCGCCCACTTTAAGCCTTCACGCGGTGTCTCATTGACATCTCCACTTACCTGATCCATTTATCTGTGCATTCAGGATATTAGCACTTGATGCTGTCTGTGACGTGAAGAATACGCCTTCTTCTTCTTCTTCTTCTTTTATTTTAAAAAAGACACTCGGCTAGGTGTTACACCTTTGCAGCCGGATTTAATTATCTTATAATACTAGAGAAGTCTTTTAACATCTGCATATCAGCAGCTCTCATAAATGCCAGTCAAAGTGGAGCTGATCACTCATATCTTAGCAACATGCAGTAGCCGCCTTTGAGGGCAACAGCTGCAGTGACAAACGTCAGGTCTAGGTCATGCGCCCATCAAATTACCTTCAATACACGTGCGATCATATTTTCGGACACTTACTTGGGTTTTTGATCCAAATGACAAAATCTTAAAATTTAATGTCCTTTTTCTAGCATCCATCATGATTGGAAGAGGTAGGAGGTTACCTGCAGACATTTGTTTTATCGCTGCCTACTTTACCACCTCTACCGTCCTAGCTATTTCCATAAAATACGATGGGAGTTAAAGTGGCAGCGACGTAAGTTTGAAAAGAAGGCCGAGGACGGCGTTCACAAGGAGAAAGGAAGGGATAAATGGTATCAACATTCCTGCAGGAGCAAGATTATCCACAACTCTCATCGCTGCTGTTAGTTGCGATCGCTTTCTGCTCTACGTCAACACACAGCAGATTATTTCGGTAAAGCACGGCAAGGCGAATGACAAGACATTTGATTTGCACCTGCATTAACTGAGGAGGTCATGGAAGCTAAGGACATCCGCTTTACCCAAAGGCCTGAAAAAATGTCGAGTAGACGTGCCACCTGACATCACTTAAAAGCCCACTTACTGCCCCGTTAAATCACACTTCTACCACACAGGTCCATTTTAAAACTCCAAAAACACTGTGCTGCTATGCGTCTGAGTAACTGTCGGATGGGTTTGTCTACTTGCGACTATAGACCCTGCATGCAAGGGAAAGAGACACTTCTTGAGGAATAAATAAGAGTGCCCTATCATTTCGGAGTGATGCAGACACCAAATCATTGCTCAGCCAGCTAAGAAGAAGCATGCAAGTTAGGTCGGAAAGGGAAGAGGCGGTGCCACATCTTTTATGTCCCTCTATTGCTTTACAGACGAGGCAAAACAGAAGACAGAAGAAGAGCTGCAAGCTGGGGTGGCAGGGATAGGCGAAAGTGGTTTTGGCGTCAAAATTTTCTACCAAAGCTAAATTCACACATTTGGCTTCATGGTAGAAACGGATACACAAAAAGGACTTTGAAAGCTTTTCTGCCCTTCTCCTAACCCGGACAACTTACCCGATGGTCTAATTGAATAACTTTTCTTGTTAATAGAACGGCTCAAGTTTAAAATCTTCAAGGCGCAGGGAAAGGGGAAAGCGTGCACTACCCTGCTTAATCAAATTGAGAATCATTTGCAAGGTCACTCGACCACTGATACGAACAAGGCTTACTTCTTCTGAGAAGGTGAAATGTAGGGCATGAGGACACCAAAGCTTTAGAGCCTGACTTCCGTTGACATCTCTCTTTTTTTCTAAGGGAGAGGGGAATAAGACAGTTATTATAGCTTAGCAGAAATTGGCTCACTGAGCCGTGGCCAATGTGTCGGTTGAACACACCCAACTTCTGCTCCGATATATATGCTTTGCCAAATACTTTCCAGATGTGGTACTTATAATGAAATCTACAATAAGCACCGCTCTATTTAAGTTTTCCTTCAGACAGCATGCTAATAAAAATTAACAAAATTGTCTAATAGGGAATGACAGATGTCTGGTACGACGATTTGGTCAAATGTGAGCAGAGAACCAAACCTACTTGATTTGTTCCCCGATGACAGCCAAACAGTCTCTTCATCCCCTTACACGTAAGTCACCGGAAGTAGTAGAGCTGAACCAACCTCTTATTGCTCAGACAAAGGTAAATAGTGACATTTTTGCGTGTTTGCATCCTTCGGTAAATCACGCCTATCGCATAGACACTTCCTCAAAGGCGTGTTTTCTCCACTAATAGGCAGCTATTGCCTGTGTCCTCTTGCAGCGACTCTCCCTCTTCCAACATCCAAGCTGGACTTCAGACAGCCGGTGTAAATCCACCTTTTGACGCACTTAATCAGACGCAAAATGTCCCAAATCATTAGTCCTTGTCTAAATGTCTCTTCACGGCTGTCAAAGCCACAGCTAAATCTGTATCTGTATTTGACATTTGACCTTGTTTTAATGCTGCCTATTTAAAATCATCATAGGAGTAAAATTGAGACCTCGGAAAATAAAAATAACAAAGGTTTGGTTTAACCTATTTACACAGTTGCACCGCTGTACTCCTACCATGCTGCAGCTTACTTCGGTCTCATTTGACTCGTTGTCAGCCTACCGTTCAGCGTTAATAATGAAGACTAACCTATGAATGTAGGCACTCCACATTGTGGTGAATGTTACTCTTCACACATAAACCCTATCAACGATGTCATTACATGCCTCATAGGTGACGTTTGACGAATTTAAATAGCCCATTCCAATTCGTCTGCTACCGCCAATCGCGGCGCACCCTCGTGGATGCACTTCGCATGCGACAAGCCAATAAAAAGTGAGCTCTGATTTGATTGGTTAATGAAGATGCACTTATAGCAATGGTGTCAGTCTCTGAGTTTGGTAAAGTAAGGTAAGAGTGAGCCGAGATAGGGTGCTTGAGACGTTTGTTGTAATGATGCTCATATCCCGCGGATACTACTCCACTGTGCATGAGGTAGTCTACCCAAAGAGAGGCGACAAGGTGACAACATGACGTGAACATTAAAGCGCTTTTCTTTGCAAAAAGGGCTCTGCGGTTCAGTGTACTCTTCGAGGGCACCACATTCTCGTGCTACTTGATAGAGCAAAAAGGTAATCGCTGTTTGTAGGCACTCCGTTGCAAAGGTTTTGAATTTTAAGGGACTCCAGCCTTTGTGCTACGCAAAGGAAGCTGTTTTTACCTGAGAAATCTCACCTCCAATGTTGGCTTCCTAGGTGAAAATGGTGCAGAATTTTATAGCGGCGAAATTATCTGTGGTCTGGAGCGCTTTCATGCTATGCATATCGTCCACTTAGACACCAAGCCCAACAATATGCTTCTCCTCGATTCGGGTCACGTTTTTTATTCCTGGACTTCGGTCGATCATACTACGTGACTCAGAACGCGATGCGCTGCAAGAAGGCGGACTTCGATGGAATATGGACAACAATGGCATGGGGCACTGGTGAATTGTCATCATCACCGAGTCGACTAATCTACACACCTGTTTCTCTCTGCTATCAGCATCCTTGAGATAATAAAATTTGCTACTGATAAAGAGTGCATGGAGGATGTGATGTGTGGGAAGGAGGCATTAGAGCTCGAAAGACACTTTTTGGTCCTCCTTGTGATGTCAATGGTACTGAATGCACTAGAAAGCCTATTCGTAAAGCTCATGGCGAATGAAATCTAAGAAAAGGAATAAAGCCTGTTCACATGGACTCTAGAAGCATTTATGGACACGTAGTGAAACGATTGGTGTAATGTGTAGTAGTAATTGGAACGATGGCTGGGCAAAGTGGCTGTCGAAGTAATGTAATGAGTGAAGGGATGATGCAAAGTGGTACAAATGGTCAATAGTCAATCACCAAGCAAATTCGACACAGGACCAACCAAGTGGAGGACAGGCATCTCTTGTCTTAAGTAGTGACATGCTGCCAGCAACTATAAACAAAGACGTCAATCAAATACCTGTTAAACGGTTTTTACAAATGGATGCCGCGATGCTCCCATACTTGTAAAGGATAGGCGGATTTTAGTAGTTGACAATGATTTGCCTCCATGTCTGGTGGAAATAAATTTCATGGACAGCGTTTGTTTTGGAAGAGGTAGAGCTGCTTCAGCTCGGGATCACGCAGAGAAGTGGAACATCGTAGCATTATGTCTGTTGTACTACTTTATTGACGACATTTTATTTCAGTATGTTCAGAAGTACCAGGTCGCCAGAGAGATCATGCCACTTTCTCTTTGTTCACACGAGAGGTCTGTTGCAACATACTTGGTGGTGATGAAGGGTAGACGGGTTTTGAAGCATACTCACACTACTGGCATGGAATCTCGCAACACCCTTGATGCCTTGAGGGTATCAGTGGAAAGAGGCGACTGCATACTGCAACACGAAGATAGTTGTTGAGTTAGTAATTTTAATAAGGATGCATCGATCATGAGTCTGACACTGTGTGCCAATACCGTTCTTCACACCGATCCATCGGTAAGCAACATTGTGGCATAGCCAAAGGGAAAAACAAGTGTAGGGAGCAAATCCGACTAGTAATATTGTGGTTTCTCCTATTAGTTTGACCTGGACACCCTTTGTAAATCTTGCGAGTGTTCATAAGTACAACATCCACTTGACTAATGCAAAACGTGTTCACATATTCATTCGAAGGTTTGTGGCTCAAAAACTTGAAAAGTAGGCTGAATGCCGGGGTAAATGCCTATTGTAGTGGTGGGATTGAAAACTACCGAATGGGGTGTCATCATTCCATCACCACTGACCTCACGTTATCGTCGTGCTAACCAGGAATCGAAAGACTGCACGCTGCTCCACGCACGCATGACACTTATCGTCTCTCCGCTGGAGTAGTGGTGGTATTCATGCTGACCCAGGATGCATGGGTCGCCAAGGCAGACAAATCTCTCATACATGCTCTGTTGAAGGCGTGGTTTAACTTGTGTGCTCTTAAAAATTCCGCTACTCTAGCTTGAATTCAAGTGTGAGGGTTAGGGAGGTTGGTTGGATGTCATAGTTGGTATGCGTCAGTGAAACTGTCCATAATCCATCATGCAGAATGGATCAATTTCCCTAACATGTCCCTTTGACAACCGAAAAATCTGCACAGTTGGGTCACTGGAGGGCACTTAGATCTGACTGTGAGTAGGTGGATCCGAAATGAGGGAAAAAGGTCAGGGGTTGCAAGAATGATCGGGTTGAAGACCAATTCACTGGGAATAGACAGGTTATGCATAATCTAACCATTCCTTGCTCTGGCTTGACTTTGAGATTTCTCACTCATAAATGGTGAAAATGCGACGTTTTTTCCTGAGCAAGATAAGGTTAAATAAATGAATGTGCCATTTTAGACGATGGTCTAATCCAAGGTAAAAATACATCTACACTGATCCTGTCATTTATATAGCTAGGTGACAGTCGGCTAGGTGGTATTAACATGTCCTCAGTGTCCCATGTTATCATCTCCCGCTAAGCAAAGCTGCATCGAGGAATCGACTCTACAACCAGTGGCTTGTAGCTGTGGCAAAGATACTAGGCGAAGGTAGTCCTGGTTACCCGATAAAGTTTTTATAGGCTTTCGCAAAATCCATCTTGATTCCCTCCATATAGTACCTATCGGCTAAAATCAAGAGCACCCTTTCAACCAATAGGCGGGTGAGAAGGCACGCACCCAGGCGCACAAAAGGAAAGAGCAAAAGAGTTCGTCTCGTGCACAAAAGGCAAGTGTTAGGCAAAATCCTCGAGATATAAGAGACGTGATTTCTGCCTTTCTTATTGTCGCACGTGCCATGAGAGTGGGTGCTCCAGTAAAGCCCAACTTCTTCGGAGGTCTAGCCATTCAGGTTTGTCGAATGAGCAGGTGATGTCCGAGAAAAGGGTGGTCTGAATTGGTGAAATCGAGATTGGAATCATGCTCCTACAATGCCTTTTAACCATTTTTTGCTCCTCTTCAATTTCTTTAATCAAACCTCTTTAGTGTGATCTTGTGTATGACGCATCTCATGCTAGTCATCCCTCGTTTCGCATTCATTCTTACCTTCTTTACTTGTCTCACACGCAGGTTGCAGGACCAGGCAACTCTGCTCATTGTCTCTACTGGCAGCGTACTTCTCGTCGACTCATAGGATGACTGAGACGGAGGATTTTCGAAGCCAAAAGTAGTAAAGAGCTCATTTATCGTCTCTGATGTCATTCCAGCCCGTGCTAGTTTCTTACACCTCGGTGACTCTACCATTAGCAGACGTACGCCATGCTCGTCACGAATGTCCTTAAGGTGCCGGCCTATCAGTAGCACGTGTGGGCCGTAAGCTGCAGCCAGAAGCAGAATCGTGGGGATCGAGGTCGAAGGAGACTTCCAACTCAGAGGGGTGGTAAGGCGGTTCCACTTTGTAAGTCACCACTTCCCCCTGGTTGAAGCCTTGGTCGAATTCGAGACACTTGACACCGTCAATGTCCAGGCGCTTGTTGCGATTGCGTTTGAGACAGGCTTGGAGGCAATTCCGAGGAGGCGGTAAGACGTTTAGCAAACGGCCTTTCATAAACCGACCTGTGCACAGACAGTCACCTACAGTAGCGGAACCATACGTGACGATGGCCCTTGTCATAATTTTTACCTAATCCTTTACTTCGGGCACCAAGAAGAAGGGGGTTCCATTAAAGTCCGCTTTTTTACAGCGCACTGCGTTCCGAGTCATGTAGTATGAGCCATCAAAGTCCGGATAAAAGAGGTGGTCTGACTTGAAGAGAATACCAAAAACGCTAAAACACCTGCGTATGCTTGCGCCTTCGTGCACCTCTAAAACATGCACAATTAAACACAAACCCTTCAATGAACGAACCTATTCATAAAAGGCAAATTCCTCACCATCAAGATAAAGGACCATTATAACTGCACTTATATCGAAATACTTGCCATCCAGAAACAAGTAGCGCCTTGATACGACTACTTACATGAGTCTTAGGCTGCCTGTAGATCCAATAATTTAAAGTTCAATTCACATAATGCTTGAAGTACACAGTGGGAGTTAAGGCTATAAGGGAGTATAGAGACGATGTACAAGGTAAACTGGTACAGACAAAAAGCTATAGGAGAGTCAAACGAGGCAATTAATGGGAGACATTGGTGAAAATCAGGCCATCCGAAGGTCAAATGGTGTAATGCAACGTCTACTTATATGGAATTCAGCCTATCCGTAGGGTAGCATTGCAAAAAATATGTGCACTTCTCAGGATTTCTTGCCATCAAGCTCAACTTATAAAGACTTAAGAATAACCTAATTTTGCGGATTTAAGGATAAATTGACATTGAATGTCGTGTTGAAGTACAAGCATATCGACTTGTCGTGTCGTCCTGCTTTGCAGGATTTGTTGAATGGGTTGGTTGAACGAAACCCTACCTAAAGAGATCACATTATATCTGCGGTACTACGTCGTCAATATAATTAATACTTACATGTATTTAAGGCCAAATTGATGTTGAATATCATGTTTACGTCTAATCGTACTGATTTCATGGAGGCTAAGTGGCGTAATTCGTGTGACATGTATGTCGACTTCATGCTATCCGTATGTCAACTGGTGCAACGCTACGCCTGCTTATAGGGAATTCAGCCCAACCATAGGGCAAAAAACTTCATTATACCTTATTCTCAGGAATAAATGCTATCCATTGCTTGATTGGAAACCTTCTTAAGTAGATTTCAATTTATCCACGGGTCTATGTCATCAATAATATACCTACTTTTACGGTTTTAAGGCCTATTGGGTGTTGAATATCAAGCTGGATTTCAAGCATTTCCATTTGACGGTCGTCAAGTGACGCAACTCAAAACACATATTGACTTCATGTCATGCGAAGTTAAACTGAAGTAAGGCCATAACTACTTATAAAGGAATTCAGCCTATCCGCAGTGCAGAATACAGAATAACATCAGGATTTTTTGCTATCCATTGGTAGAATGAAGCTTAACTTGAATAGATTTCTGCCTATCCGTGGGTATGTTTTCAATATTTTGCCTACTCCTACGGACTCAAGGCTAAATTAATGTGAAATTACCTGTTTTCGTCTAAGCATTTCGATTTGACATAGGTCAAGCGCCGCAACTTAAAGGATATTTGCATCGACTTCATGCAATGCGGATGTCATCTGGTGTAAAGCCTTGACTACTTGTACGAAATTCAGTCTATCCGTAGGGCAGCATACGGAATAATATGTCTGCTTCACAAGATTTCATGCCTTAAGTTGCTTAAATGAATCTCAACTTAAATAGATTTCAGAATATATGCAGGTCTGTGCCATCAAAATTACACTTACGTGTACGGATCCAAGGCTAATTTGATACCAAACTTTGTGTAGAAATTTAAGCATATCAATTTGACGCACAATAAAGGGCACAACTCGTGGGACATTTACATCGAATTCTTGCAAAACGGTTGTCGGCTTGTTTAATACCGCGTCTACTTACATGGATTTCAGCCGATCCGGGGGAAGTATAATTAATTACCTGTCTCCATATCAGGATTTCATGATATCTGTTGCTTCAAAGAAGTACTGCTTTGGGAGGATTTTTAGATTATCCCCAGGTCTATATCATCAATATCATATCTATTTATACTTTTTCAAGGTTAACGAGATGTGGAACATCGTGTTCAAGTTGAAGCATATGTATTTAACGGAGATTAAGTGACACAACTGATGGAGAATTAATATGGACTTCATGCCATGCAGATGTCAACTGGTGTAATACCACGTCTACTTATATGGAATTCAGCCTATCCGTAGGGTAGCATGGCAAAAAATATGTGCACTTCTCAGGATTTCTTGCCATCAAGCTCAACTTATAAAGACTTAAGAATAACCTAATTTTGCGGATTTAGGGATAAATCGACATTGAATGTCGTGTTGAAGTACAAGCATATCGACTTGTCGTGGGTCAAGTCACGTAACTCATGGGGCATCATTTATCAATTTCATGCTATGCGGATATCAACTGATGTAATGCCAAACCTACTTATACGGAATTCAGCCTATCTGTAGGAGAGCACACTTAAATACGTGTCAACTTCTCATAATTTCACGCTATCCGTTGATTGAAATGCGCTCTATTTAAATACACATCTGTCTATCCGCAGGTCTGTGTCATCAATATTATCCCCAATTATACAGATTGAGGGCTTGATTTTACCGAATATAATGCAAATGGACTTGACAGCGGTCAAGTTACGCAACGCATGGGACATTTATGTCGGTTTCAGGCAAATGTGATATCCACTGATAAATTGCTACGTCTATATACCTGCTTCTCAGAACATCTTGAGTCGGTTGGTTGAAGGAAGCTTTTCTGTAAAGAGATCGCAGTGTATCCTCAGGTCTGCGTCATCAATATAACAAATGCTTGTACGGATTCAAGTCTATATTGATGTCGAATATCATATTTACGGCTAAGATATTTGATTTCACGGAGGTTAAGTGGCCCAACTCAATGGACAATTATATCGAATTGATGCAATGCCAGGTGTACTTTTATAGAATTCAGCCTATCCGTAGCCTAGCATGGCAATTAATGTGTGCTTGTCAGGATTTCATGCAACCAGTTGGTTGAATGAAGCTCTACTTAAATAGATTTCAGTCTCCACTAAGGCGAATGTCCCCACTACGTACATCTTTATTAAATATCTACAATTCTTTTCTAGTGATGGTCTTCTCCTCTCGCAAGTAGCATTGAACTGTGGCTTGGAGCCTCTTATTGTCACGAGTTCAAAATTGTGTGGTTTTGGAATCGGTGCCTCTTACTCCGTTTTGTATGCTGTTGCTACAGCTATGCATTATTTGTCCTTTACTAAGTTTTACTTAGTTGAAATTATAATCTTATTTGTTTCTTTTTAGTGATTTTTGAATTACAAATCTATTATTGTTGGAATCATTACTTCGGGCCTGGGTTTGGGCGATTTAGTTTTGGTACCCATTCAAACTGCAGTTGTCATTCCGAACAACTTGCAAAACTTCACTCAGTACGCATCCATTTTCTTCTAAAAAGTGCCGCTAAACCTTATTTACAATATGCCTTCCTTTTTTCTTTAGCCCAGAGGTTAGGAACAATATTCCAAAAGCTTTTTCTGTTCTGGGTGGATTTATTCTGCGTCTTCAGGTAATCGGGTTTGCTTTACTCCGGGAAAAACACTCTGATGTAAGTTTGCTTATCACTATACGGGCTTTTCCAGCCAAACAACAATGTCAAGAAACATTTTTGTTACTTCCATTGCGCGAAAGTAATATACATATTGACAAAGAAAGTGACAGATTATCAGCAAATTTTTAAATTTTAGTTCTTTTCAAACTGTTGAAACAGTACAGGAGAATGAGAAGTATGTGTAAACAATGCGAAGAGATGGTTATCTTATACTGTTATTATTATTATTCTACTTTTATAGGGAATTAATTGTGGGAGATTACGCGATGCTACAGGCTCTTGGAACCATCGACTTCTACCTCGCCTTTCTTATCAACTTCCCTAACTCATTCCCAACTGGGCTGACCTCATCAACAAACTGAATTTCAAGTTAGGCTGCATTTAAACGCACGGATACGTAACTAACAATGTATTTACTGTTTCATTTTCGGTTGCGATACTCATCATTCTTTATTTGGGCAGTCTATTTTAGACTTTTGTGGAAGAGATTGCAGATTTGGTAATAATTTTCTCGTACTAGTTCTGGGTCGACTGACATGGGGTAGCTTTGGCAACCGAAACTCATTTAAGGTGAGCTTTGTGGGCACTAATTCCTCATCTCTGTTTACTTGTCCTCTCCTCTTCATGACACATAATGGCTTTCAATTTCTCTCCCTCTAGGGTCCATTAATCATTCTTCAAATCGAATGGACCTCTCTGTGCTTCACGTATGGTTACCTTACGCCAGTGGGTGGTACTGCAGCCGAAGCCATTTTTTGCGATTTGGACTTTCCTTCCGTACACCTGTCTAGCTGCTAACTTTATCCTCATTCCCAATCCGGCAACTCGGATTTTTGTTTGCTGCAATGGTCCGTAATTTGAAATGTAGAGTATGCCTCCAATGAACATTTGCTTTAACTTCTTAAAAGCCTCCGTTTCTGAGGCTAAATGTCTCAGCGTACTGGATATCGCACTATCGCTCACCCTTTTCAGCTAAATCTTTCGCCTGTGCAAGCCTATACAATGGACCCAATTTCCGGCAATTTTAAAACCCAAACTACATAGTGGTCACTATTATGGATGTAAGGATCTGTGAAACAGACCAGGTATTTTGGTCATTCGTTGTTCTTCTGGCAGATCTTTAACCCTTCTGCTGACCTATACTAAAGCCTTCTTCATGATCATCCTTCAGTAAGAAGGACTCGAGTGCTAGAATTCCCATTTTTTACATTTGAATCAATTGGGACAGAAGCTATTCCCTTCTGCCGACGTAAATATGATCCTCTGCAAAGAGAACGAAAGGAGTTGGAGGGATACCTCTAGTATTGATATCAGGAGAGAGCAGGAGGGATTTGGGGTGCACATAACTCAGTCATGGTCAAACATTTCAAAATATAACAACATCCACGCCAATGATGGATGGACAGGCCGTCCAC